TTGCACTCTTTGCCAAACCAACGTTGCCTCGTCAACTTACTTTTGTCGACGCTCGCCTGCTCCCTCAAAATGCGACAATTGGTAATACTTTTTTTCTTCCTTTTGCCTCTTCGTGTCGGCGTGTCCGTCTTGGCAGTTGTTGACGGCAGGCGTTTTTTATATTTTACAGACAGGCCTCTCGTTTATTTGCAACACGACACATCCATCCGGTTCATCGTGTTCATCGTGTTCATGCATACTGTCGGATTCATTCGATTCAGCTTAATCGACTGTATCAGGTTCATTCGGGTCATACATTTTAGGAGATACATTCAATTCGGCATCATCATCAAATTAATACTTTCTATCAGATTCACTCCTCAGGCAAATCAAATTCATATAATTGATGATATTTAGTCAATTCATCAGATTCATTCTGTCAATCGGGTTTATCTTTTCCATCATCTTCATCTATTTTATACCCTTGGCTGTGTTTAGTTGCCTCACGTGCATGCGTATATCTTCCACCACATAATGACTTTGCTTCGGTTGCCGTAGCGACCAATTCACGAATTGTCATCAACCAATCTCTCGCCCCACGTCGTAGTTCGAATCCCTCGGAGGCACTTTGTCGGGGAGAGTTAGTGGCCTAATTTCTCTTCAATTCCCGCTTTCTCATTACTGCAACAGTCAACCCTGCTGTTGCCGTAGCAACTAATTAACAGATCCCGTCTACACCCAACCTCGGTTTGCTAACTAATCCAATGGTTGTCAAGCTTTCTTTCTCTCTCTCTCTCTCTCTTTCTCTTTTTCTCTCTCTCTCTCTCTCTCTCTTTCTCTTTTTCTCTCTCTCTCTCTGCTCGTCTTAACAGGGCTCGGCCGGTTGAGCAAAGCGCGGATGGCGAAAGCGGGCAATTGGGCGAGTCCTGCGGCGTCTGCGAGGATGCCTACCTGCTGATGTTGATGTTGATGCTGCTGCTGCTGCTGCTGCTGCTGCTGCTGCTGCTGCTGCTGTTGCGGCTGATGTTGCAGTTGCAGTTGGTGTTGGTGTTGGTGGT